GCTGAGATAAGGCCCGAGATGTGCTGGGTGACCCAGGTGGCCTGGCGTCGTCACAGGTCCTTTCCAGAAAGAGGCAGGGGGCGGGGTCAGACACAGCTGTGATGTGCGAGGGCAGGATGGGGGCTGGTGCGACGCTGACCTTGCGGTGGAGGAGGGGCCACAGCCAGGAGGGCGGAGTCTGGAAAAGGCAAAGGGCGGATTCTCTCCTGGAGCCTCCAGAGGAAGCCCCGCCCACCCAGGGAAGCCCCGCCCACCCAGAGGAAGCCCCGCCCACCCGTTTGGCGCCCGACCTCTGGGACCAGGGGGCGGCAAATGTGTGTTGCTTTCAGCTGGGTCCATGGCTGTTTGTCAGAGCGGCAAGAGGGAGCTCAGACACGCACCTTCCAGGGGGCCAGGGTGATGCCAAAGCTTCTGCAGATACAGAAGAAGTCCGGTGTCACCTGGGTCCCCGACGGGAAAGCCACAGACACTCCGCTACTAGCTCCTCCGATGCCCCATCCCAGGCCCTCCCCGACCTCAGGGGCTGACAGTGCACCACGCACAGAGCCAGCCTGCCCGGCCAGGGACCTGCCCCCACGCTGGGGAGGCTCATTTCATCACCCAAGCCCACTTTCTTCCTGCAGAACTTGGATCTACCCGAAAGGCTTATCGTGGACAGGAAATGAGTCCCCAGTCCCAATACCCTTATGATAACAGTACCTGCTACCACATACGTGTCCGATAAATGTTACCTATTAACGCTCATGAACTGGACTGTGAGCTCCCAGGGGGCAAATTCAAATGCACCCCACCTTTGTGGGGCCACCGCTCCTCGCCCACTGCCCCCCACACAGAGCTGACGAGCGAGTGTCTGTGGAATGGAGCCTCCCCGGGGAGCAGCAGGAGGCTGGGACCACAGGACCAGGTCCAAGTGCCCCGACGACAGAGCACCCCACCTCTCGGTCAACATGCCTGAGAACAGAAAATCCGGCGGGGACATTCCAATAAGACTAGTCTTGTCTAGTCACCTCTGGGCAGCCCTGGCACGCACTCATCCATTCAGGGGTGAACGGAGTCTACAAGTAGTTCTTGAGCCCCAGCCCGTGTGGCTCAGTTGGCTGGGTGTCGTCCTGGGCACTGAAGGGTTCACGTCAGGGCACATAACCTGGTTGTGAGCTCGCTCCCCAGTAGGGGGCGTGAGGAGGCAGCCAATCGATGTTTCTCTCTCACAACAATGTTTCTCTCTCCCTCTCTCTTCCTCTCTCTAAAAATCAATTTTAAAAAATATATTTCTCGGCCCAGCCGGTGTGGCTCAGTGGTTGAGCGTCACCCTGCACCAAGAGGTCGCCAGTTCGATTCCCCGGTCAGGGCACATGCCCAGGTTGGGGGCCAGATCCCTAGTGTGGGGCATGCAGGAGGCGGCCAATTGATGTTCTCTCTCATCGATGTTTCTACCTCTCCCTCTCCCTTCCTTTCTCTCTAAAATCAATAAAGAATATACATATATATATTTCTTGAGCCCAACTGGGCTCCACCCCTGCTTCGGTCGGGGGACGGAGGAGCTAACACAAGCTCAGACACTGCAGACAGGCCTCGCGACCAAGTAGAGGTGAACACAGACAGCAACGCACAACCATGCACAGGTGTGACAGGTGCCGACACCCCGCATGCAGAGCGGGCGCCGTGAGGCCTCCTGCAGACAGACACTCTGCTAACAGTCCCCGAAACCCCACGTTGGGGCTTGGGTGACACACAGAGTGACACACAGTGACTCAGTTCCGTGCGTTCTGACAGCATCTCCCTCGGGAGACAGACACCAGAAGAGAGCAAGAAAGGGAAACGCATCTCATCTCACCTCCCCCAACATCTGACTGACCCAGACGCCCCGCATTCCCTACCAACCAACCCCGCCCTGTGCGCCCCAGGACACCCGACCTCTGCTCAAACGCAGGCAGACTTGTTTTAAAAATAGCAACTGTCTTTGGGGCTGTCGGAGCCCAGGTGCTCCCTCAGAGCTTCCAGAGGTCATTTTGGCTGTTCTTCTTTCTTTGGGAGACATGTCTGCCCAAGTCCTTGGCCCGTTTTTGGACTGAGTTGGTGGTGGGTTTTGCGGTGGCTGAGCTTTGGGAATCTTCCCATGTTCTGAAGAGCAGCCCCATCAGACGCACGTGTCACCAGCATTTCCTCCCGTTCCGTGGTTTGGCCTTTGCCTTTCTGGGTGGCGTCCTCGCACACCTTTCTCCTGTGCGCTGAGTTCAGAGCACGTCCCTCTGAAGGGCGCCTCTCCGCGGTGTCCCGAGCATCTCTCGACAGAGAAGGACTCTGGGCTCAGAGAGGTGGACTGACGGGTCCAAGATCCAACAGCGCGGAAGGCGGAGTTGGGATCGGAACCCACATCCCACGTCCGAAAGTCTAACCAAAGCAGTACCTCCTCTGTGTTCTCTCCTTCCGAGGAATGACCTGGAGGGGTCCCTTCAACTCCCACTCTCGGCATCTGAAGAGCACAAACCGACCCATCCTCCGTCCTCCTCTCCAGGGCCCTTCAAAGACAGAGAGCTGTCCACCCCCACCCCCCCCGGGGCCGTCTCTTCTCAGCATCAGGACAGACGCTCACGCTGCCTCCAGTCCCTTCCCCTGTGATTTCAGTCAAGGGCCCTCAGCCCCGGCCGCTCCGTGACGGAACACTATCAGTTTCCTGCGTCCCTCTGACGCCAGACAGACACAGAGCTCCGGGTCGGAGCGGGGAGCGAGGGCCACCATGACTGCCCCTTTTCTTAGAGACCAGGACACAAGAAATGCTCGCGTTCCTCTGAAACCCGCCGCCGAGAGGCCAGCCGTGCACGCCCGATGAGAGGTGGCAAGCACCCTCAGTCCGCGGGGAGCCAGAGGGGGACGCGGGGTCTACATGCAGGAGCACCCCTGATGAGAGGTGGCAAGCACCCTCAGTCCGCGGGGAGCCGGGGGGGGGGAGTGTCTACACGCAGGGGCACCCCCGATGAGAGGTGGCAAGCACCCTCAGTCTGCGGGGAGCCGGGGGGTGTCTACACGCAGGGGCACCCCCGATGAGAGGTGGCAAGCACCCTCAGTCCGCGGGGAGCCGGAGGGGGAGCGGGGTCTACATGCAGGAGCACCCCTGATGAGAGGTAGCAAGCACCCTCAGTCCGCGGGGAGCCAGGGGGTGTCTACACGCAGGAGCACCCCCGATGAGAGGTGGCAAGCACCCTCAGTCCGCGGGGAGCCAGGGGGAGGGTGTCTACGTGCAGGAGCACCCCCGATGAGAGGTGGCAAGCACCCTCAGTCTGCGGGGAGCCGGGGGGAGGGTGTCTACGTGCAGGGGCACCCCCGATGAGAGGTGGCAAGCACCCTCAGTCTGTGGGGAGCCGGGGGGAGGGTGTCTACATGCAGGGGCACCCCTGATGAGAGGTGGCAAGCACCCTCAGTCTGTGGGGAGCCGGGGGAAGGAGGGAGTGGGGTCTACATGCAGGGGCACCCCCGATGAGAGGTGGCAAGCACCCTCAGTCTGTGGGGAGCCGGGGGAAGAGGGGAGTGGGGTGTACATGCAGGGGCACCCCCGATGAGAGGTGGCAAGCACCCTCAGTCCGCGGGGAGACGGAGGGGGAGCGGGGTCTACACTCAGGGGACCCCCCATCATCTCCAAGTGAGGATCACAGGAAGCAGTGTGGGCCCAGGGTCACCTGACCCTGTGGTTTTCATAGAAGTTACAAATCCAGATTTCGATGTGAATTTGCCAATCTGCACAGGACGGCAACAAATTACACATATGCACGTGCGCACGCGCAGAAGTCATTCAGCTTCAAGCCTGACATTCATCCCTCCCAATCCTGCCAGGTGATGCCAGGGTTCCCGCCTTTTAAAATCATCTGTGTTGGCCCTGGCCCGTCTGCTCAATGGTTAGAGCGTCAGCCTGAGGACCAATGAGTCGCAGGTTCAATTCCAGTCAAGGGCATGTACCTTTGTTGCGGTTCGTCCCCGGCCCTGGTCAGGGTCATGCGGGAGGCAACCAGTCAATGTGTCCCTCTCACGTCAATGTTTCTCTCTCTCGTCCTCTCTCTCCCTCCCTCCCCCCCACTCTGTCTGAAGATCAATAGAAAAATATCCTCAGGTGAGGATTAATTGAAGCATCCGTGTCCTCAGATCCATACCCCCAAAGCCATGCAATCCCAAGTCAAAGCCAATTTGTACGTCCCCACAATGTACACCTTCCTCCCTCACCTGTCACAGCCCCAGTGCACAGAATTTCCAGAGCATGAAGATCTTTGGGGGAGCCTTCAATATGCCCCCAGTGACCCCATGGTGCTTCCTGCACCAAGTGAGGACCGCACAGACTAAGGGGGCCTCTTCCTGGGGGACTAACAAATGTGCCTCGTGTTGGGGGACGAGCGTGGGATTCACACTGGCCCCTGCAAAGAACACGAAGAAAAATAAAGAAAAGCCACAGGCTGGCTCCCGGCTGGACTGGGCGGGGAGTCCAGCCCCTCAGAATGCAGAGCCCGCAGGCCGCGCCGTCCAGATCCCAGACTACGGCTGTGTCCGCGGGCGATACCCAAGGCAGGTGGCAGGGAGGGGCTTTCACGGTGTAACAGTCATTCACTGTCATCGATATTAACGGCAAATTAACACAGCAGGCTCACGGATGGCTCTGTCTTAGAACGGGGCTGAAGTTTGAAATATTGAGGCATTCAAAGAAAACATATTGGTAAATAACATTATTTGGCACAGCAGTAACTCAGGAGGTGGCGTGTACGTGGCTAAATGAGGGCAGTATTGTCCTGTGAGCCGAAGGGGGACAGGAAATGGCTTCTGCTCTCGACTGAAGCCCGGGGTCCCCACTGCAGGGGAAGGAGGCCTGGCCCCTGTGGCCCTCCCCACGGCAGGCGGGGCTGTGCCGTCCTCACTCCTTCACGTGGTCACCCGGCTCCAGCTTTCCAGAGAGCCTGACCCTGGGCAGAAGGGGCCCAAAGGACCGAACCCTTGGGAGTCTGGGGTAAAGCGTGCCGTACCTTAATGACGTCTTCATCCGCAGACCTGCACTCCACGGACTCGGACACGTCCACCACGGAACCATCCTCTTGAATGGCCACGACCTTGACGGGGACCGACACGGCCTTCCCCGTGAGAATGGCCGTGTTCAGGACCTCCGTGTCCTGCAGGAGACAAGGGGCGCGAGTCAGCGGACGGCCCCTGGTGGCAACAGGTGGAATCTGAACAGTGTACCCGGGTACGACTCTCCTGTCCTGACGCTCACTTCCTGACTGACAAGTTCACTCTGCTTACGTAGGAGTTTCGAGGAAACACGCACGTTTCATTAAAATAAGAACGACTGGTGTTTGTGGAGAGAGAATGGTGACGTTTGGGGAATTCTGAGGTAGCAGGTAGGGTCATGGACTGATTCAGACTCATAGGAAATTTTAAAATAATATGAAGAACCAAAAGAACAAACATAAATAGAATAAAATCAGTAAGTCCGTAAAGATGCAGGACGTGGTAAGTACCTAACGGACATCATTTGTAACGACCGCTTTTGTAAAACGTTGGGGGCCAGCACCGTGCTGGGCGGTTTACGTGTGTCGTCTGCAAAATAAAAATGTGTGTTTGTGACGACAGACAGGAGAATGAGTACTGACACCTCGTAACAAAGATTACAGAACCGAGCCTGGGACGCCGTGGGCCCTCGGTAAATGTTGACGCGTCTTATTCATGTCTCAGAATCGAAGGGTGACTATTTCCAGAGCTGCAAGGATTCCACTCTTGGGCCCGGATCACATTCGGCCGACGACCCCCCGGGCTGTGACTGAAAGCCCAGAGCCTCGGAGATCTCGGGCGTCCCCTCGGCCACTCATCTGTAAAATGCGACTGACAATCCATTCTCTGCCCAGCTCAGACGCTTTAAGGATGAAAGATAGATTTGCAGGGGCTTTGACTTTAAAGCCTGGACACAGGTGTGTTACAAACAGAAAGTTTACGTTTTAAGCTTGGAGACCAAGTCGCCCCAAAGCCCCAGCCATGGCCACGGGGGCTTCAGGTCCGTCCCATTCCAGCCCCCCGACCCGGCCCGAGGCCCAGCACCCCCGTCCTCCTGCCCCCCGTCCTGGCCTGAGGCCCAGCACCCCCATCCTCTGGCCCCCCAACCCGGCCCGAGGCCCAGCACCCCCGTCCTCCTGCCACCTGACCCGGCCCGAGGCCCAGCACCCCCGTCCTCCGGCCCCCCGACCCGGCCATAGACCCAGCACCCCCGTCCTCCGGCCCCCCGACCCGGCCATAGACCCAGCACCCCCGTCCTCCGGCCCCCCGACCCGGCCCGAGGCCCAGCACCCCTGTCCTCTGGCCCCCCGACCCGGCCCGAGGCCCAGCACCCCCGTCCTCCTGCCCCCCTGACCCGGCCCGAGGCCCAGCACCCCCGTCCTCCGGCCCCCCGACCCGGCCCGAGGCCCAGCACCCCCGTCCTCCGGCCCCAGCACAGGGATGTCAGCCTCTGAGCCGAATCTAACTCTGAGCCCTCTCAGCCCGAGACACCTGGACCCGCCCCCCGTGCTGCAGGACAGGTGTCCTGGTCCCTCAGAGGTCAGCAGGGATGCCAGCTCCAACTGAGATGGTGGTTCCCACGCCCGTGGTGTACGTGGGACTCTGCGTCGGGCTCTGGGTGGCTATTCTTAGATTCCGACCATTTACTGTCCACAGAGCGGTGATTTCAAAACGCAGCTTTTTATGAACCCCGAAAGACCCCGACGAAACTACCCCAAACAGGAGCGCGCAGACAGCCGTGTCTGTGGGAAAGCACCGTCCGGGCTCTCCTGGTGGCCCGTCGTGGCCCGCGGGGAAGCGCCCTGCACTCGGCACAGGGCGGGAGGGTCACGGTACTCCACGGGCAGGATGAGGGGTCACACGCAAGGACAGTGTTCATCCAGTGGCCCTTAAGCCACATCAATGTTTCTCTCTCCCTCCCCCTCCTTCCTCTCTCTCTGAAATCAATAGAAACGTGTCCTTGGGTGAGGATAAGAAAGGAGAGAAGACAAAGAAACAGAAAAGCTAGAGAGCCCTGGCCAGGCTGGCTCGGAGGTTAGAGCATCGGCCCCGCGATGACGGGTCGCACGTTTGAGTCCCAGTCGAGGGCACGTACTGGGTTTCAGGTTCAATCTCCAGCCCCGGTTGGGGTCGTGCGGGAGGCAACCCATGAATGTGTCTCTTTCACATTGATGCTTCTCTCTCCCTCCGCTCCCCCACCCCGGCCTCCCTCCTACTCTCTAAAAATCAAAGGAAAAATAGCCTTGGGTGAGGATTTTAAAAAAAGCTAAATAGACAGTGAGGCGGGGGACAAAGAACTGGGAAGCTCAGAGACGGTCCCAGAGACGGGAGACAGACAGCACCCCCATGAAAGCCGGGCCTGGTTCCTGGGCCTTCCTGTCCCCTCTGCTCCTGCCAACCCAGGGGCTCCCGTGGGCACCCCCCCCCTCCGCCCCAACACGAGCACGAAGTGTGTTCTCTGCCATCCTTCCCTGCTGAGCCATTAGCACTTCTTAACCACAACTGTAACCTGTGAATAGTGTTTCTTCCCACGGTGGCGGGGGGGGGGGGGCACAAAACCCTCCCATCCAGCGTGGGCTGAATCAGATGCCACAGGCCTTCCCGAAGCCACTCAGCATCAGCCGTCCTGTGGCCCTGAGGACTGATTCGGGGCCGGCACGTGACCCCGACTGGTCCGATCAGAGTGGGCTCGGAACTTGCGGACAGGGCAATGCCCTTTGCCAACCCGACCCCTCGCCACCTGCCTCTGGCCGGAGGCTCCCTGGCGCTGGTGGGCGAGCTGGCCGGGCTGGAGCCGAGCGTAGGGCTCGAAGCCGCGGGGCAATCTCGGGGGCTCCCGGCAAATGGAGCCAACCGCACACCCCGGCCGTCTCTTATCTGATTTGCAGACACAACCCAATTTAATAAGTACCGGGTCCAATCCAGTTACTGCCTGGTTTAGATGGAGTCATTTAGGACGCCAGTCTCAATGGGACCAACCGACACTCGGTGGACAGCAGAGCCCAGAGCGACCACAGCCGGTGCACAGGGAGCCGGTGCACAGGTCAGTGTTCTCCCCTGGCACCCCGACACCTCCACCCTGGCTCCCGGGTGCCTCGCCTCCCCCACCCCGCGGCAGGGACCGACTGCCGTGGTAACAGGACACTGAGTCATCCAGCGGCCGATCACCGTGTGGCACACCTGAAGCCATGTGCTGTCTGTCAACCGTAATCAGAAAAGTTTAAACACTTTAAAGAAAAAAACACCCGGCAAAAACGGACAGCCAAAAGATGGCCCTGGCCAGCGATGACGCAAGAGTCGCCCGGAAGTGGAAAGTGCTGACGCTCAGAAGGAAGGTCAACCGCGTGGCAGCGGAAGAAACGGCTGCGGGAGACGGACGGGGCCCCAGCCCGGGCGTCACCGTGCAGCCGGGACGTGGACTCGGCCCTCTTGTCGGGGGTCAGAGCTACCCCCGGTCTCCAGGCAAACACTCAGAGGTCAAGAAGCTCTCCCGGGTATTCTGCAACATTGAAAAGGCTTTGGACACAATGCCCTAAAGTTGATTCAACATTTAAACGCATGGCCATCTGCCGGCAGAGAAAAGACACTTTGCATCAGACCTTAGAGACCAAACGCGTTCCGCCCACTTGAGCAGTTGTATACAAAGAAACAAAAGTTTCCTCCTCGACGTTGCTAGTGTTGCCAGTGATAACGCGCCAAGAAGCCGATACTAGTTTTTTTCATTTCCCTATACATTCATGAAGAGCGTTTTAACGTTCTGACAAGACCAGTGCACACACAGCTTTCCCCGTCGCATGACGAGCGCGGGCGCGACGTGCAGGGTTGGTCCCGTGCCACCAGGCAACGCCAGGGCGGCCCGAGGTGGAAACGAGGCTGTGTTACTGTTGCATCGGGGTCCTGCTGCCTGCCCTCTTCTCTGTTAACAATGGAGACTGGCAGATAAATATTGGAGAGTTGTTAAAAACACGACTGAACCCAAGTGAGACTCCGTTCTTGACCTAATCAGAAAGACTGAAAGGGAAATCAAAGGAAATCATTTTCTTTCTACGTAATTCAGTTTTATGGAACAGTGTTCCCACGCTAGGTAAACTCGTCACACCGACTGGGATGCGTCTCCTCCACCCAGGACCACCTGAGCGTTCACGGGGTCCTCCTACAGACCAGCTCCCCACATCACCCAACCGCACCCTCCAGAGGCTCCCGTGGGCCCCCACGGACCCACTCATGTCCCCCTCCTCAGCTCTCATGACACCCAGACTTGCCTGTTAGGGCACTTGCCACAACTGTCACCACAGTCCTTGCTGTTCCACACCTGAGGTCCCTGTTAGAAGGTAGGGACCGTGCTCCCTGACCCTTTTCCGTGTCCCACAGGCAGAGCCGTGACCGGCGCCCCACTGGTGCTCACGACACATTTGTGCATATTGTCGAATGAGTTGCTACTCTGGAATAGTGCAGGGAGTAACCGTGCCCCCCAAAATACTCATGCAGAAAAGCTACCGCTGGTCCACAGAGAGCCTTGCAAATTCGAAAAGGGGCCTCTGCCATCGCTCAGGAGTCGTCACAGCGAACGAATTCCGTGAGAAGAGGTGCTTTCCCGCCATCTGCTGCACAGGTGTCCTGCCCGGTCCCCAGCCCTGCAGTGTGCAGTGTGAGCGGCATCGCCGGGCCGCGTGCAGTCCCCGCCCTGAGGGTGCTCGGGCGAGCTCGGCGGGTGGCTCCCTGGCGGGACAGAACCAAGCCCTGGGCTGCAGCGCCCGGCGGGCCACACGCCCTCTTCTGGCCTCGCCGGCAAGACTGAGCTGTCACCCCACACAGCGTCCGAGTGGCTTCACCTGCTGGTGCGTGTGAGGCCCTGAGTCCACAGGAAGAGATTTCAAATGATGTTTTTAAATAAACTAAAGCTAATATAATAAATAAAACAAAACAAGGCAATGAGGCCACTGGGCTAGAAGTCTGTTCACGCCACCAGGTGAAACCACCATCTCCCAAGCAGACACGGTGACTCATGCGGAGAAATGAAAGTGACATTCGAAGAAAAGGGAGCTGAGGGGGGGGGGGGGTGTCCCACCTGGTGGGCCTCTCGGGCCAGGGACAGATGAGCTGGCTACTTGTCGAATGTGTG